TAGAGCAAGTAAATGAATTTTCTTACCTTTGAGCCTGCAATATATCCACCTGCAGCGCCAAAGCTTTTTGTGAACGTGCCCATAAGAACGTCAACGTCCATGGGATTACATCCCCAGTATTCGAACCACACCTCTTGGCCACTGGATCCCATCGCACTGAATTAAAGTTTTCCTGTTGCACATTACCCTTCCCTACCGAATATAGTCACAGCAAAAGCTTAAAAGCACATTTTACCTAACAGGGGGTACTATTTTGAACGTGCGCCGTCGCATGTAGTGGCGACACAATGCGCTCGAAATTGCTTACAATGTTACATTGTTAGCAAGGAAGTCAGTGGCTTGCGACTCATGTGAAACTCTACCTCGGTGCCTAAAAGCGCCACCCATGGCTCCCCACCAAACTTTGATGTAAAGGACGTATCTTCTCCTTTCCTTCATTGTTGAATCGTTGAGCATTCAAAAATCAACGCGTTCCCGTAACTGTCCACCGTGTTTCCAACGTGAAACGTGCCTTTTGTTCAGTTGCCGCCACTGTTCTCTCCCAATCATCAATGCCCTTATCTATAATGTAATGATTGCTTCAGAAAAACAAGCTGACCTATTGAATGAGCTTCGTCTAGATACAGATAAGCGCCGTACTTCTTTTTCAAAGCAATCACTTGGGGAAGATTGCAGATAGATCCTTCCATTGAGTAGATACCTGGAATGGAACACCTTTTTTCTTACAAACCTCTGGATTCGACCGGTCAATTGATTCACCGTTTTGGTGTGTTGCTTGTGACCTCTATGAATCATGAACCAAAAGGAGTTGAGCTTAGAAAGCTCTTCAGAAATGCCACTTACCTTCAACAATGATCAAAATTTTCTTATATGGGCGATGTGTGTTCGGGTTGCCATAGGCAATAGCATTGCGCAAAATTTTCTCTAGTGAGATCATATCTGAAAACGAGCGGGAGATTTTGCAAGGTCGTACTCTTTGATAATAAGACTCCCACAACACTTGGTACAACTTGCGAATAAAAACCTGTATTCTTGGCAGCGGTGGAGAAGTCCTAATCGCAGCACTCTGACAAAAACAGTACATTCACTTCCGTGGATCCTGGTCCTCGCCATGTGTGAGATAAATGGGTCCGCAGCTGCAGTAGCGTGCCACCTTCTCCGTTCAGAAGTGCATTGGAACGGGTCGGACGGTAGCGATACCCGAGTGCCGATCCTTGACTCCGCTTGCGCTGCCGCACGCCCAGCCACGCGCCTAATCATAGTCGCACTGCTTGTTTGCACCCTCTCACTTCTGGTTGTTCTCTACCGCTGAGTACTGTTTCTTAACGGGACCTTGGCATCGATGCAAGTGCTGCACTGTAGCGGGGGCGGAGTCCGGAGACGGCACCGACTGTCACCACCCTTCACCCTCATTTCCGTCTCTTAAAGGCAGTTGGCACGATAAATCGCTATACAGATGTAGGATTTGTACAACTGGCTTAACAGAATTCCGTGACCTCGGACAGGCGCTCCGTGGCGCCTTTTCCAAGGAGGGTACCCCTATAACGCCCTATCGAGCAACAACATTCCGTCCCAAACGCCTTCCTCGCCCGCCCGCCCACAAACGGACGACCGTTTCTGACGCTCGTATTCATTCATTTGCTGAGCAAATTATGAAGCAAAGGGATTGGTATGAAGCGGCCGTGATGCTGCATGCATATATGGGTACACATATGCAGCCGTATCTTCGGTAGCGGTGATTGGCAAGATGCGTACGGGAAACTCGTCCGAAATCGATTTACAAGTCACTGAGAACGGAGGCTTTTTCTTCGCCGGATTTTGACCGTTTCACTCCGTTCTTTCGCCATTTCCCCACTACATAGCGCCCTACTAGCATTTTAGGCTAAGTGGGAAACCATCGTGCCAACTGCCTTAAGTGACGAAGGTGCCATTTGTACTATCGGCGGCGCGGTCTTCTCGAACATGGCAAGGACTGTCCCCGGTTGTGAATGTACAGTTTGTCGCTAATTATAGATACACATGCTCCGCATGTGATATTCCTGATAGCAGGTTTCCTTAGTTTGTTTCTTAACTATTAAAGCATGTATGTAGGTAGTGATTGCACTAACCATTGTGCTTGAAGACTTTTGTCGAAGCACCAGAAAGGCGACATCCAAGTATAAGCGAAGCATGATTGTGTTGGTCGGAAATGATCAAAGAGTGCTGAAATCACTGTGAATCACCTCTCTCTTATCAATCAAAGCCATCGTCTCTGGTGAGAACTGATAAGCATAAGTGCATCACCCCGGAAACACTCATACCCGTACCTTATCGACGAGACACGGGGCGTTCATTGAATTCGTTGCAAAGCCCATGCTGAAAACAATCGCGTCTTCAACATGAAGGAATTCGGCGACGAGCTTCTCAAGTTTGTACTGAGAGACGGAACGGCCTGAATATCTGCTTGAAGCCTAGGTGCTTAACATGAAATTGATGAAGCTTTAGACGTTAATCAGTCCCTTTCGGGATGTGGAACGCATTTCGTTTCTATTCAGAATTGTAGTTGCATTTTGCATGCGGTATGACCTCTCTCAATGAGTTGGCGGGGGCCAGAACGGTCCGAAGCAGTACTTTACAAGAATCCAGGACAGGACAAGATTGATTTTTGTTTACCAGCCCGGGAGTTATGGAAGGCATGTGAGCTTCAGAAAGATTCGACTACACCACCTGAGCCTCCACACCACATATGGGTCTCTGGATGACCTCTATGTTAGTTCTCGCCGTCATTACTATTATTCTGCAGAAAACCTTTGAGAAATCTGGTTATGACATTAACATTATGACATCAGTAGCCCCAGCCGAATCCTGGGCAGTGTCATCCTAACAATTAGACGGCTGGCATAAATTTAGAAACTAGGGCTCAATTAAGCATACTCCCACTATGTCTCTAAGCGAACAGTTATTGCGTTTGATGAAATGGACATTGCTTTTTTCACTGGACAAGGGTGTCACAATGCGTATAAAGTTTGGTTACGGTCTTGTTCGCTGCTGGCGCGGGAGCGTTTCAGAGGGTCGCATTTGGCGCAGCGCCAGGAGACCGCATAGAACAAGTCTGTCGCCTTATCAGCTGGAGGTGCCGCACTTGCAAGGTTTGTCCATAAAACTAGATTGTGTCGAAACTTGCCGGGAGTGCAACGCCGCCTAAAATTTCGTTGTCATGTTTGTTAGCAGAATGAACCAATATGTCGAAGGAAATGGTTGCTTAGGGAGTTCAGGCCAGGCGTTCAGACTTCGCGACGGCAGCGCTTCGGTCGCGCGTTCGATGCGCATGCTTTCGACTGCATCGATCGCGTCGAACGCGCGACCGAAGCGCTGCCGTCGCGAAGTCTGAACGCTGCCTTAAGGGTCTTAATGCAAGTCCGACACTCGCTGGCCTCTACCACTTATGCTCCCCCCCCCCCTGGAATCTAACTATTATTCTTCCACCCTTGTATTTCGGTCGAACGAGTAAAGATACACAGAGAAAGGGTGAAGGATGAAAAATCCCTTGACATTCTCATTCTTTACACACTTACGCAGACCTCCTCAACAAGCTGAGTACTATATTCTCCCAGTGACCACTAGTACCGGTCTTTCTATGGGGAACACCTGCCACGTGTTTCAAGGATATGTTGGTAGACACAGCCCAGATCCATTATTCAATTCCTATGGATGCAAACGAACTTTTGAAGTAAAAAGTGTCTCTACACCAATCCCGATTTCTTGTATAACGTACGGCGAATACTAGTATATTCTTTATTACCTCTCTCATGCACTGTCGTACATGTGGCCAGACCCTCGCTGTCAATCTGAGCAATAGCTGCATCGGCACACGGACCACTGGTTTGTGCGAAGCCTAGGTAGTTGTACGAGCCAACATTGATAACATTCGTCTGAGTTCGCACCGTTCACTTTGGCGAACGCCCCGCCCGTCAGGGGTGTGCTTCATTGATTTCGACCGCCAACAGATTGCCTATCGTTTGCCACTTTTTCCGCTCTTGGGGCTCTTTTGGAACCAAACTACGAATTTTTGAAAGTTTCGTAGCAAGCACCGCCCACCTATAGAACGCCCGCCCAAAGTGGGTGTGTCTCACTCATTTCGTCCGCCAACCGATTGCCTATCGTTTGCCACTTTTTCCGCTCTTGGGGCTCTTTTGGAACCAAACTACGAATTTTTGAAATTTGTAGCTCACAACTGTGCACACCCCGCCCACAGTGGGCGGGGCTAGCTTAGTTCATGTGTGTTCCGTACATCTTGGCCCATGCCCTACCCAACCCACCCTTGACCCGCCCCCTCCAACTGGCTCTTCAGGTGATTCCGAATTTCCGGACAGACAGACAGACAGACAAACAGACAAACAGACAGAACAGACAGACAGACAGACAGCGTTCCGTTATACAGTCCTCATCATTGCGGACCGGTGGGGCGTGCCAGCCACGTGCCAGCCAGAAGGAGTGCGCACACTGTTGAAGCCGTTCTCAGCCTTTTTTTGCAACGCGTATGCGACAAAAAGTGGTAGGAAAACGAGTGATACGAAGGATATAATGCAGTAATGCACTTGCCCGCTTGAAAAACTGGTGCAGAACGATTTTGCCAAACCGCACCAAAGCAGCCGCACTGCCACGCCCCACCGGTCCGCAATGATGAGGACTGATATATATAGGATGTTGGTAGACACAGCCCAGAAAAATTATTCAAATCCTATGAATGCAAACGAACATCTGAAGTAAAAAGTTTCTGCACCATCCCGATTTCTGTACCATCCCGTACGGCGAATACTAGTATACTCTTTATTACCTCTCTCATGCACTGTCGTACATGTGGCCAGACCCTCGCTGTCAATCTGAGCAATAGCTGCATCGGCACACGGACCACTGGTTTGTGCGAAGCCTAGGTAGTTGTACGAGCCAACATTGATAACATTCGTCTGAGTTCCTGGGTATCTAAAAACTGCCTCTCAGTAGTGGATCTTACACCGAACACTATTTCAACAAGAGTGCGGGTCAGGAAATCCGATTCGAGGTGACGTTGTGACAGCAGCTGGAGTTGCATTCGCCCATTAGAACTTGACTTTAACGACAAAAGCCACACTACGTCGACGCTATCATCTGGGAAGTACAATTTCTGCGCAAAACCATGACGTGAATCTCCTGCTCCACACTCTCGATTCAAACAGTGAAAAATTCAGAACTGAGAAAGTTACTTGTAAGTCCAGTTGTAGTCATCGGTGGTTCTGTCAACAAGGTTCACGGTGGCACCCGGTACAGAGCCGATCGGTCGCTCGAACACGTCCCGAACTCGCATGTAGCAATTACGGGCATATACAGATTCGAAGTCCGCGAATAATGGCACGAAATCCTAAATAAAAATGGTGTGAAGGATCGCAGAATAACTTGACTAAGAGGCCCGTTGTGCCAGTGCTTGCCAGCCACTTCCTTTTTTCAGCAATTCGAGCATTGCTCCGCGTTTATTCGATGTTAATGCGCCTTCTTTGGACATGGTAGTTCTGCCTGGATTGCCATTTAGGATGCACTACATACGCAGCTAGAGGAAATCGCCGCCCACTCGCGACGGAACCACGGCTCAGCCCACTGGATACGGCAGCGCCCAACGTTTATTTCTAAAGGCTTTCTGGTGGTGTAGTTTTACCTCTTTTACCTCTACTACCTCTCTCTATTTTGACTTGTGAGAGTGAGGTGGTAAGGGGAAATAGTTGGCAGCAACAAGATAGAACTCGTCCAACCACGCCCCTTCCTCGCCTTGTGCACGTTTAAGTGCAGCAGCAACCTTACGTATTTCGCTATCAAGTACCAGCATAGGTATTGTTGCTTTGATGGCCACAAGTTTGGGAATAGTTTATTTCTCATTCAACTATTATTCCAAGGAATCTCTAATGTCTGGCCATTTACGAGTTCGCACTAGGGGTGAACTCCCTTTCAAATTCAAACTGAAGCCACCATCGAAATTTCCCACACTGAACTCTCAGCCACAGAACGCTGCATTCCCGCTAACAAATTAGTCAATGGGCAAATCGGCAAATCATTAGCCAGTTTCATCAGCCATAAAAATCCTTGGTATACTTTAGAGAAAAGGTACATTTGGGAGTCAGCACTACATACTACAGCGCCACCAGCATGTACATAATAGCTGGCCCAGGTTTTGAGAAGGACAATAATAAGCTATTACCTTTTGTTTCGGCAGTTCCTTGTGAGCTTTGTCGTGTTCGAGTCCCCATTTTCGTAGAGTTTCGCGAATGTAGGCGAACACGAGTAGCACTATCCACGAAAAGTAGACAGGAAGTTTTGAAAAGCGGCCCTGCTGAAAATGGGAACCTCTGAATGAGACAAGGTCTATTA